AAGAACTCTTCTGTATCCCTTTTTTGGAGGCCAAAATTCAGTTTAGGTACTTCTCACTATTCAAGAAAGACTGAAATAAATGTCCCATGTGAAACAATTTTTCTTACGCTAAACAGTGAGATATGTTTTTGAGTTTTATTTACCATGTAAGGAATGTATAAATGAGACTATAAAATATGTGCATATTCATTTTCCTAGTTTCTTTTATGGAAATACAATTTCCCCCTCTATTGCTTTGCAGTCTATTCACATATACAATCATAGTCTTCCTTCTTGCTAGTGAGTCAACAGCCATGCCTTGTTCTAACTGTTCCTATTATTTTCTCATTATTACAGACAAATGTTAACAAGTAGGTATATATGTCAGTAACTTTATGTTTCTCATAGCTATGAATGCAACACAAAGTGTATTTGCATAACCCAAAGTATATTTGCTTGTTGTTTATAGTAGGCTGACCCTGGGTGGATGCCAGGTACCCACCAAATCCATTCTCCCTTCTGCTGCTGGAAAGGTGAGAGGAAAATGTACCAAAGAGTTCATGGGTTGATTTCAGGACACAGAGCTATCACTCACAGGCAAAACAGACTCAAACTGGGGATATTAATAGAATTTTAGTACTAAAAAAATCCGAGCAGGATAATGAGAAGTAAAATAAGATCTTAAAAACATCTCCCCACTTCTCCTTCCCAGCTCTGCCTGCTCCCCCAGCAGCGCAGGGAGATGAGAATGGGACTTATGGTCAGTGGATCCCAGGTTGTTTCTGCTGCTGCTCAGGGAGAGGAGTCTCTTCCCAGGGTCCCCCACACTGGAAATAGTTCTCTGTGAACTTCCCCAACGTGAGTCCGTCCCACAGGCACCAGTCCCCCACAGACTGCTGCAGTGTGGATCACTCTTGCACAGAGTGCAGTCCCTCAGGAACAGGCTGCTCCAGCGTGGGTCCCCCATGGGGTCACAAGTCCCACCAGGAACCCTGCTCCAGTGTGGGCTCCTCTCCACAGGTCTGCAGGTCCCTGCCAGGACTCTGCTCCAGCACGGGCCTCCCACAGGGTCACAGCCTCCTCCAGGCATCCACCTGCTCTGCTGTGGGGCTCCTCCATGGGCTGCAGGTGGATCTCTGCATCCCTGTGGATCCCCACGGGCTGCAGGGGCACAGCTGCCTCACCATGGGCTGCACCACGGGCTGCAGGGGAATCTCAGCTCTGGTGCCTGGAGCATCTCCTGCCCCTCCTTCTGCACTGACCCTGGTGTCTGCAGAGCTGTTCCTCTCATGTTCTCACCCCTCTCTTCTCTGGCTGCAATTACAGCTGTGCATTAACTTTTCCCTTCTCAACCGTGTTATCCCATATGTGTTGCCATTTCTGACTGGCCCAGCACGTCCATCCCGGAGCTGTCTGGCATTGGCTCTACTGGACATGGAGGAAGCTTCTGGCAGCTGCTCACAGAAGCCACACCTGCAGCCCCTCTACTATTAAAATCTGGCCATGAAAACCCAACACAAATTTTTATAAAGGTTTTTTTTTTTTTTTTAATCTATATGATATCTACAAAGTACTTCTATACCTTCACTGAAACTTTTACTAGCTTCATGCAAAGAAGTAACCTGCCTTGTTGGTTTGTGTTGTCAAACTTACTTACTTTGGAAGTTTCAGTCCTCTCTTGGTCTGTGTTCAAAGACACCAGAATGGCTGTTGGCTGATGCTGCAAGAGAATGCATGTCCTATTCCTGCAGGAACATCCAATATGAAGCAACAGATATGCCAGGATGACTGCTGCTTCTCAATTGCCTAAAAAAAAGGCTAATCTGAGGCTAGAAAACACTGCTCTGGTAATATTAGCTAGGAATGCTGTTTTGATAACTTAACACAGTTATATTAACAAAATATACTGACAAAAACCACGGTTTTCCACTTTTTCATAGTTCGGGAAATTACATTAAGCTCTACCGTCAAATCCCCCCAAAATGGAAAGGCTAAGCCCAAGGGGTTCTGACAGGACAAGGAGGAAATATTGTATTGCTGTTTGGGATAATTTGGTGATCCCCTTGGCTTGGCTTGCTGTGGTATTTTAACCTACAACAAATGCACATAATTTCCTCATTGAGTAAGCAGGAAATGAATGTATGTGATGTACTATTACTGTTCTCAATTCAGTCTGTAAATGGAAGTACAATGGGCTCACTTAGGTGGTGTCATCCTCTTCAGTCACCAGCTATCAGGCACTAGATAGAAAGTAGTAAGCGCTTCACTGGCTCTTTTGTTCTCCATAGACTATTAAGGCTCGAAGGGAAGGACCAAACCTCAGACATTCCTGTGAAGCAGGAGAGTGTTTTCTGTTTATTGGTATATAAATCCCAGGGAGTTTCTGTTCTGGTGTTTGCACTAGCTGGGTGCCTCCCATACACATGATTTTCTGAAACCTAATTTGAGCGCCTCTGCCTGACCCAGCAGGGATGTGTGCCCTAGCCCAGGTGGTCCCAGCTGTGGTCAAAGGTGATATGGAGTATCCTGAGGGCAGAAAATCCTCCCCCATGCATCATCAGTCACTGAGCATCCTCACTCAGCCATACCCTGGGCAGGGCAAACAGAGACTTCATTTATTGCCCACCCCACGCACTGGGGCTAAAGGTACCCTTTAAACTACTTGGCAGGAAGGCAAACGGAGTCACTTGCTCTGCTCTGCTTCCAGCAGTGCTCCACAGCCCCCAGCAGTGTTTGCTTTATGTTCAATCACTCACAACTGTGCAAGAGGGCAGAAAGCCTCCACAAGTACGTAGAAGGGAGTAAAAGGTTACTCCCACACTGCATTTCTTTCCACAAGCTATAATATTTAGAGTGTGAGGAGTCTGCTGACTGCAGCTCAACATTTTTACATTGGCAGTCAGTATTTTTGCCAGGGAGTTGCCTACAGTTGATCCAAAAGAATGAAATTCAAGGAGTTATTTCTCCACAAAGAAAAAAAAAAAAGAAAATGTGGTTTTACTAATATGTACTGAAAGTTGTGCCATAGATCTCCCAAGGCATAGAAAAGGCTAACTGCTACTAATAGAGGATTTGGGTGTTTCAAATATCCAGAGGTTTCACACAGCATCTTCAAAACTGAATATCTGGGATTACTTGAATCCACAGTTAAGAATCAGGCCAGTTCCTTCCTGGTGCTGAGGGATAGAAGTGTTCTCAGGACTCTTTCAAGATGGTGACATCTGGAATTGTTCAGCAGCTTTCAATTTCACTCCCTTTAGGTGTCTAAACGTGGATTTAAAAAAAGTAGTATCTATCTCTGATCACACTTTTTTCCTTTCTTAAATGTGCTAAAACAGTCTTCTCTCATGCTGGATAAACCCAGCAAATTTTCAGAAGAAATACAGAATTTGATTGAAGTGGGTCAGTGTTATTTTCATTGTGTCAGGTCCCTAATACAAAGCTCAGAGTAATAGTAACAATACTTTATAGTTTGTGCCTGTTACTCAGGAATCTCAAAAAGCATTTCTGAAACATTTAGCCAAGAATATAACACGTCTATTCATATTTGGAAGACTTCTGCTAAGTAAAAGTATACCAGTTTTGCAAGTGAATGAACTGAGGTTTGGAAAGAGTCATGTAACAAAACCAAAATTTAAACTGGAGATAAATTACTACAGCAATAAATAAATAAACACTTTGTACTTTGTTTTCGTCATCTGAAATTTTCAATCTCTGATGTTTGTTTATTTACTTGCTTTCTTCCCAGAACTAAGGCAAGCATTCTTCCAGGTTTGATTAGATTTAGATCTCTCTCCTGTTCCAGCTTTGTCAGGAAGCAAAAAGAGGTGCATTGTAATACTGAGGATCTGATTGCACTGCTTTTCTCCAGCCTTGGTTTCAATTGCCCGTTTTTTTTCAGCTTCTTTTTAACTCTTCTCACTTGTCTTGCACTTGTGTTTTGCCTCTGGGGCTGTGTCTCCCTGTGCTGCCAGGTGCACCCATGCTAGGGGGTACAGTGTGGGGAATTCTCCTGGATTGGGGTGCTTTCTGTGGAAACTGAAAGCGTGTCCAGTGCACAACTCTGCAATGAGCAGCTCAGGTCCACTACAAAATATTGAAGGTCAGGAGCTCTGCTTTGAAGACCTAGATCTGCAGACCTTTAAAAAACCAGATTCCTTGTCCTAGTATTTACAAGGATGAAAAACCAACAAAACAAGTAAACAAACAAGAAGACTATTGAAGTAGCTTGTATCACCAGAAAAAAAAGAATTTTTACTAATTGAGTGATTCTACAGAAAAAATATATACAGAAGAATGACTCATCTGTGTGGGGTTTTCAGTGAGGTTTTTTTTTCCCTGTATAATCCTGTGCCGTTCCACACAGAGATCAACATTTAAGGAAAAATGGGCCCATACAAAGCCTTAGAATCTACAATTTTAACATTTCCACCTTGCTCTGTTACACTGCACTTGGATATAACACAATTTTTAGCTCATTGAGTAAAGTTGGCCACTTCTGATGTCACGCTTTACACGGCACATAAAATTTAACTTTTCACGTTTTTTGCTTTCTACGGGTCATGTAATAACCTTAGTAACACATTTATTTTATTTTAATCTGTCATAGGTAAAATTCTTATCAGTCACAATCTTTTCAGCAATGCCAGTTCAACAAGAGCTCACTAAGCTTCAATTCAGTTTTCATCCACAACCTAGTATTTTCAAGCCACCACTTACAAACCTTGCTGAAGGACTCAAATGCTATGTTGCAGCAGCCTGGTAACACAAGCATAAGCACTGGCAGTGCTAAGTCATGAGCTTTACGTTTCTGTTCAATAGCTTACAGTGAAAAGTCTTCTGAGACATGGCTGAGGGGGTCAGGAAGGAAGTTTTGAATACCAGTGTCTTTTTGTGATGAAGAATATCTTCATTCTGTTACATACTGCATTTTTTCAGGCACTGTAAATCATTCTTCCATATCAAAGCTAAAACTGCACTTTCTAGCAGACAAATATTACCATAAGACAGCACAATAGTATTTTGAGTATTTATGCATTTTATGACATTGCTTACTCATAAATACTTGGTTATTCACAGATGGAAAATTTAAAATAACAGATAAGAAAAAGGGTGATAGTAATAAGCACGACAAATTTATTACAGATTATTTTAAACATAATAGCATACAGATTTATAGCACAATATCACACTAACAGTCATTTTGACAAATGCAGTAAAAAAACTAATAAATGTTCCATTAAATAGAATATGCCACTTCTTTTCTATTTTTTGCTGGACGATAGTTTTACATATTCTGTGGTTGAAATTACAGATCACTGCAATCACGGATCTCCTTTATCATCCTGCAGTTGCAGAGTTGGGTTAGGAAGTGAAACTGAATTGTCTTTCCCTGGTACTGCCAGTGGTGCAGCTCATGCTGTTAACCACTGCACTGGACTACCCTGTCGTGTGTCACTTTGTCAAGGCAATCAAATTTACTGGCAAAGTCACTGGTTCTTACCAGCTAAGCAATCAAGATATTTTCTATTGCTGACCAAACATTGTGAGCAGTGTCTGCCTGCAGAGAAATATATATATAGTATATATTTCCAGTATATAGTATATATTTCCAGTATACCTGGAAAGATGTAGTTCTACAGGAATAGTGACAAACTCCTCCAAAAACATGGGCTGTGGAACTACAAGAAACCAATATTCAATTAGGCTATGCTTTATTTCTGGAGGGAAATGGATCATAATCTGTATCCTCCTAGTAAGTATACCAAGGAATTACCTGTGGGAAGTGCAGCTGCTCCACCAATAAGGATGGATAAGGAGTAGTCACCATCTAAGTCACCCTCCAGCTGTGTTTGTACAATTTAGACATGGTGCTTCTCATCTAAGATTATGCAACATTATTAACTTCTCCTGCTTTCAGAAAGCAATTAAAAACCCCCATAAACAAACAAAAAACCTCAAATCTCTTTTGGGCATGAGGTTTCTCTAAGCTATTCCCTGACTCAGATGCACCGAAACACCTGCTTAGGATAGTACTGAAAGAAAAAACAAACAAACAAACAAACAAACCTAGATTTTAATAGTGTTGCATTCATATTTCCACAGACCCTCAGGAAAAATGCCAGTGGCTTTTTTCATAGGAGGGGGTTAGCACTAGAATGGGTATTTTTATTGAGTAAATCCGTTTATTCTTATGCTAGTTTAATTCACAACTTTTCTCAGGCGTTTCCCTGCAGGCTTGTTTAATAGAGAAAATCTACATATATGTATGACCTGCAGAATTTCTTTGGACTTTTATGTAATTAGGTTAAGAAATTTCTTTTTTTTTTTTTTTTTTGCCTAGTTGTTACGCTTATGGCAGAGATATTGTAATGTCCAAGTCTTTAAAAATAACACAGTGAAATTATGCCTCCAGATCTCTAAAGAACACAAGGATCAAGTAATTAAAAAAAAAATGTAACATTTAATACATTCAAGTACCTGTCACCTAAACAATTCTCATTCTTTCTTGCAGTGGCGGTGAAGAGGCACAAGACCTCTGCTAGGCAGAAACCAGATGTTTATAGAAGCATCATGAAAGGAATTCCTCATTTTTCTGGGCTCAGGTCCTGTCTGTTGTGCAAATCTTCTCAGTAGCATGATGAATACTTGTAAGATGGGCACACTGGTCACTGAAAAAACTGGGAATTGATGTGCCACCCTTGGGTCTCTGTGCTTAGTCTCCCATCAGAGGACATCACCCTTGCTGCATCTGTGCAGACTGAAAAGACTAACTGAGGGACAGGCAGGAGACTAGCAAAAATGAGATTGTTTTCTTCTTAATACTGGGCTGATGAGGGCCTAAGTGGCAGCTTCCCATCCCCAAGAACCAGGCACTGTGACACCCAGGGATGCTGCAGAGCAGGGAACTTGCAGACTCTGTACTTAGGGAGCTTGTGATTAGCTTAAAGTGTGATGAAAGCACTCTTTCTTGATTAAAAACTAGGATTTAGCAGAACACCAGATACCCAAATCCCAGCACAGGTTAATGGGATGTGCTGCCTTTCCTCTGAAATTACCTCACTATGGGTTTTCATCAAGTATACAAGAAAGATGTGGTGCAATTTTGCACCAAGATGCCAAGCCTTTCTTCGCAAAGAACACAAAAGAAGATCATCAAAATTTATCATGTAAAAATAGATTAATTTGGTAGCTGAGCTATCATGTCCTATCTGAAACATTTCAATACTTGCCTTTGAAGGCAGCAGCAAATTTTCAACTGCAGGCTCCTATGCTACTGAACTCATCCAGAAACCTTGCACAGGACAGCTAAATTGATGCTATTTGTTCTGAAATGCAAAGGGCATTTTACTTGCTAGGTTGTTCTTAAGCAAAAGGATGACTGACTTTGTAGGCACACACAATGGCTGCTTACCTTCAACATTGAGGTTAATGTGGAATTACCAAATCAAGATGAAGTTTTAAAAACAGTTTTGCAAAGGAGAATTATGAGATTACAGTACTATACAACAGCACATCAGACACAATATAAGGCACAGCAGGCAATGCTATTTCTGAATCTAAACATTTCCCCTCATAGGAAATGTAAGTTTATTCATTTTGATATCAATCTTCACCTTTCCTGAAGCATATGACTTTCTTGGTTCCAAGTAACTGATTTTTTTTTTCTTTTTGTTGTTTGCAAGAAATATAAATTCCTGACCAAATAGAGAAGTATATAGTAAACTACTATGGTATGAAAAGCAAAGGATTTATGTAAAGTATGTATTGAGACTACGAAGGTCAGGAGGAAGATACAGTGGAATTTCAAAGAAGTTAGTAATTTTACAGTAGAACTGTAATAGGTGAACATGCAAACTCATCAATAGTGGATGAAATAAAGGCAGGGAAAGCTATAGAAAAAATTAAATTATATTATTTTAAATCTAAATAAAAGCTATGCAAATTTAAGTTACAAAATTCTTATGAAAAATAAGTACTGTTATGCAAATATATCTACAAAATATAAACTCTTTTAACTGAAGCCTTTCCTAAAATCTCTGAACTCTCTAAATAAAAGTAAGCTTCTTAAAGCATAAGCAAATTCTCAGCCAGTATAAATCTCTCCAGCTTTAGCTTAAACTGAATTCCTATATTGGCATAAGCCCCTGGTGGCTAAAGCAAGCTTTATATTCCCTTACTGCCCAACGTAAGGGACATAGTCTCTGGTACCTGGCCCACACTAAGCATAACACACAAAAAGCAATGTAAGCTTTCAGAAAGTAACTCTCACCTGTATCTGCTTTACAGGAGACCTTTCTGTTAAGTAAAGCTGAGCATGCTATTAATGAACAGCTGGGGAAAATTTTACTTGGATCTAAAATTTTAGATGCTGTAAAAGGTGGAAGATCTAGATTATTGTAGAGTTACATCTCACTGGGGATACATGAGGAAATTGTAAAGTAGCAAGCTGCCAGTTTCTTTGGGGATCCACACTGGCTTTACATGCTAGTGCCTTGAGAACAACAAAAGGCAGCAACTGATTTGTGAAAACTTGATGATTTTGGAAGCACTTGGTTTTTAGTTCTACTTTTGGAATAGCCAAATGCTAAGAAAACTATTGTTATTGAAGCTGAGATTAGAGACAAGAAAACCTTAATGATTCTATGAAAACTGAAAAGACTCAGCCACGTAAACAGCTTTCTAAATTTCTATAAACAGGTTTTCTAAATTTAAATAATCTACACAATCAGTTAAATAATACCAAAACAAAATTTAAGACCCTGCTCCAACATCCACTAGATTTTTTATGCCCTTCATTTCAAATAATTGTTCAGTAGCATTTTAGATAAGTCTCTGTCAGAAGAAATGGGGCAAGCCAAAGGTCTCCTTTTAGGCTAGGCACTGCTATGATCAAGAGGACAGAGACATGAAAAAAAAAAAAAATCACTCCTTTAACTAGGTTTGGAACCAACTGAAGTGCATCTTTCTCTTGTGAAATTTAACTGGACAGCAAAATCTCTTTTTAATACTGATGTCAAAGGCATGAGAGAGAAACCAAGAACTAATCTGATAAAATACCTCTTTAGATTACATTGATATTTCTACACTGCACATACACAGGTTTTTTCCCTCTCTCTTCTGTATGAAGTTATTTTGAATTAAAATACACTGCTGCTAAAGTCAGGGAAAACTTTATCAATGACATCAATGAGGTCAAGGTTTCAGCCACTTGGTCTAAGCATAGGAAAAAAAAAAAAAACAAACCCCATCTTGCATCATTAGCCTGTGCATGGGAACGTTTTTTTTTCATACTAAAGAAAATTAATATGAATGGCAAATACTCCAGGCAAATTTAGGCAAATGCCACTGACTCCTGCATACTTTATTAGAAAACTAATTAATAATCAAAACTGAGTAATAACTTTTGTAGAAATATTTATAGCTCTCTTCCTAACTCTCATTATCCAGGACTACAGCAGTCTCCCAAGCATGTCACACCAGCCTTGATTATATAGAAGCATTCAGGAAAATTATCTGAAACACCTACTGGTGTGATTTGGAAGTGTATTAGTAAAACTGCCTTTAATCCTGTGTGGACACAGCTTCAGAATAAAAGCACCTTTACTTTAATTTTGCATATATCAGAAGCAAAGTAAACAAACTGAAATCAAGGTCAAATCAACAGGAAAACTATATATGCAAGGAGTAAATATAATTTAATCCACATTTTAAAGACTTCCAAAGTACAGTAAGCAAAATTCTTAATTGCAAAATTTTTTGTTCTGAATAAGAGATTCATGTGCAATTTTTTTGAGATGACAATACCTTGCATTTAAATAATTTTAAATTTTCAACTTTCATGAATAACAAGTTTTTTTCTATGGAATTCTATGAAAAATACATGGTCATAATTTCATGAGCCATAGCTCTAAGTCCATCTGTTAGGCATTTGGGACAGTTTGGTTGCTTAGCTAGTATTTATACTTTTTCCAATGCCATTCCATCTTTTAATTTTCTCAGTGCCTTTGATTGCATTATCCATAGTATGCCTCTATATTATATATAATTGCATATTTTCTTACAATAGAAACCAATACATTTCTCAGACTGACTCCAATGGCATTCTCATAGTTACAGATTATAGATTGACAAATGTTTAAAAGGGCAGGAGATTATGTGTCTGTATCACATAATAACAATAACACTTGAGATGCTTAATGGGCTGTTTGGACTTGACCTTTATCCTTTGCCAGCAATAGAAAGTTAAATTACTGTAGATTACATCATCCCCTGAAGATCTATGCTTGAGCAAAAGCACACCTGAATGCTGGGCACCCTGGCTGTGGGCAGAGATGGGTGGAAACTAAGGGGCAGCTCACATGGGCACAGAGCTGTCCTGCAGTGACACAGAGGGGGAGTTTTTGCAGTGGAGGGCACTGTTCCACCGATAGGAACACGACCAGGTGACACATAATATTTCCCATCAAGCAATTAACATTCCTAACTTCTCCTGCATAAAAGCAAAGTTTTCTGTGTGGTTTTCTTTCTCATTACATTTAAAAAGAAAAAAAAAATAGAAGTAAATACATTTTATGGAGAAAAGTTGAACCCATAGTGAAAACTCATGGAATAGAAGTCCATCAGGCTTTTTAAAACCAAAGATGCTGATATAGTCTCTAGAAAAGAAAGCTGATGTTGGCAGGACATGCCATGGGAAGTACCACACCAAACTTACTCCATGCCTTGTTTCTTTTCTTAAACATCATTGTCAGAGACAGGATGCTAGGGCAAATGGACTTTTGGCCTGATTCAGCCATACTGAAACAAATATCCCTTTACTGTTCCAGAAGGATGTTTGTCTTTCAGCAATATTGCTTCTCATTCCCTAGTTTGCATCTCTTCTGTATTCCCCACAAACCTGGCTATTGCTACAGCTGCATGATAAACAGCCTTACACCTTCCCTTCTCTCCAGCATGAGGATATTCACACTATTTCTCTTCAGACAGAAGCATGGTATTTAGGTGTCTTCCCAAATTATGTAAGGCAATGACTGCCTGCCTGTGATTTGTGCTAGCAGTGGAGAAAATAAAAAGTCTTTCTCAGATGTGAAGTTTTCATATTACTTTGATCGATGCAAAGCAATAGAAAACAAAACCACAATGGGACAATTGCTCTGAGGGAACAGGGCATTGTGGAACTGGAAAATTGTTAAGAAATATATAAATGAAGCAACATTTATGTTCCTATTCTTCTGTAGGCTTGATAAAAACTTCTGTGGCTTTGGGAAGGTTGTATCACTTGGATGAGAATATTTTGAAGTTTTGATCACTTTAAAAAAATTTATTTGTAGATACACAATCCATGACTACTTGGTGACAGTTCTGCAGCAGTGATTGTTAGTGTAGATGTGGAATTGGCAAAGAAAGTGGGCTAGTGCATAAACAGCAAGAACGTGAAATCAGGATGTTGCTGCTTGTTTAGTAAAAGATCTGACAGTGCTTGCTAGGAAATCTGTATATTTTGGCTTCAAGTATAGATAGTGCTTTATTATTAATCATGATTTGTTGTTTTAATCCAGTAACAGCAAACTTTGAAAAAGAGGCAAAAAAAAGGTAAGCTGGAGTTTTCAGCTATGAAGATTTTTTTTTCTTGACTAATATGTTGTCAGGATTAATTCACTAGTATGTAAGTAAGTACTTTCAGATCATTGCACTGAAGTCACACTACAAAAGAAGTATGTAATTTGTTTTCTCACATCTGAAGCCCATTATTAGTACAACAAATAAAGAACATTTTAAATGTCAGGGAAGAATAGAAGTTACAAATAAACAAAATTCTGTCTTAAATCATACATGACATATAAAAAAGCAAGCTAGCTCACTGCAAACAGTATTTCATTTTTGCCTAGATTAAAGAGTATTTATTCTTCCAACACATTTTCCTTAATGACTACTTGAGATGTTTATAACACAATGGGCAGTAAACACAAGACCTATTCATCAGTCTCCTCCTGGTTACAGCCAAAGCGGCCTTTTACACCACCATGAGACATAAACTCAGTGAGGGTATCCTGCCAACCGCATCATCTGCTTCCAGTCCTTCATCTTCTCATGCTGACAAAGAGAGCTCAGGGGGGCAGCAACCATGGCTTCCCTGGACACTTTCCAGGAGTGACTGATGTTGTTGGGGGCTGCCCTCCTCCAGTGTCCATCAATCTACTTTTGAGTCTGACACACTCACACATTTTCCTTTTAATCTTTTTTGTTTTGTTTTGTTTTGTTCTCTGGAATCACTTCGCATTCTTATATTTTTTTTCCTCCAGCCCCTTCTGCTCAAAGGGCTTGAATGGGTGGTTACGGTTGGGCTAGCACCTGGCTCTAAAAGGGAGAAAGACAGCTAACATGGTTTAAACAGGACTTAATTAAAAAATCTTTGCTCCTTTCTGTAGGGCCTAGTGAAAGCTTATGTGCTTACTGCATCACTGAGAAATACTTGAGGAATAATTGGTCCCAGGAGAGTCATATGCTGGTGCCTTGAGATTCCTCCTTCACACTGAGTAGTTTCCTTTGTTATCTTCCCACTGCTGATGTTAACCAGCAGAATAAGCACTGAACTGCTGAACTGGGATGTTTCTACCATATTTTTCTTTGCCAATTTCTTTTTGCTGTCCATCTTTTTGGATTTTTTTTTGTTTTTTTTTTTTTTGTTGTGACTAATGGCCTCACAATGCTCTGAGCAAGAAGAGAACTTGGAGGTGAGCCCTGAGCTCTTCAGTGTCCTTGTGCTGTAACTTTAGATCAAAACTACAGGTAAGAATTGGACCTCCAAAGAAAACTGAGGCCATGTCTGCTATAGTCCAGCAGAGTCCTGCAGTCCAGAGATGTCACTCAGGGTCAGAGCTGCTGCTCTGGTAGATAGCTGTGTGGGGGAGAAACAGTCCCCCCCCTTCCCCCTAGCACACCTTGTTTCCTTCAGATAATTGTGGAACTACAAAACAAAGGCCCCACCTGGAGATCTTTGCCTGTTTGGAGTGCTGGTATATCCATGAAAATATCTCAGGCTGAGATCATCAGTTCACCAGGCAGAGAAGGCCTGAATCTGCAATCAAAGTTTTACTGTTGACTTAAATAAAATGCTGGGAAAGTTTCATTAGGTTTAGCTCTCTGCAAAAAAGATCACTGAGTAGTCTAGAAGATGATGCATGTTTGATTACATTTGCTCTTCTTAAGTGAGTCTGGCCAACCTCACGAGAGTATTCTCATGAGTTGAACTACATACTCTGTGGCTTAAATATTCAAAAGTTAATCTACCAATTGTTCATTTTTGTTAGATTTTGGTAATTAAAGTTTTAACTGCACTAGATTTCTTGAAAAAGTTTGTGACCAACATAATATAAAATACAGCATACCTCAAAGAACAGAGAAGTTCATCTGCTTTGGATTATGACATTTGTTTCCTGCAGACTATGAAATCTTGTGCAATGTTCCGAGTGCACTTGTATCCAGTGTACATATTGCAGGGAACGGCACTGTTTCAGGTAATTTTATTTTAACTTTTCTCTGTCTGGGAAAAGTTTTTGAAAATGCTTATAAAAAAGAAAAGGGGTGTAAGAGCAGAGAGGTTAGTTAGTGGTGTGCTTTATGTAATATTCTATTTCCCATAGAGATCACTGCCAATTTGATGTACATTACAGCAAGAAATCCTGTAGTGGAAAATAATGGAATATATTTTCATTTTATTAAAATTTAGCTTGTGAAAATTAGCATAACGCTTAAAATCTAAGCCTTACCCTATTAGTTTTTTGGGGCTTACTTGTGCTACCTGATGCTCTTGTTATCTTCATGAAGTTTCTGTTTCTTGAATACAACTTCAATGGCATTCTTCAGAAATGAATTTGCACAGTGTGCAATTACACTGTTGAAAAACATCTATTTCCTTTTTCAGTTATAAATGCATTATCTTTTGTCTAAATGGATGTTTCCTTGTTTATATCTGATGAGAAGAAGCAATTCTATTAGTTCTAGCCATCTTTCCAGTCTTTTTCTGTGTACATTTATTCCATTTCCTTGTATTTATTTCTGGTTTAAAGCATTGTGTCCATCCATCTTCATAACAGTATTTTTCCATGTATGAATGTCTTTGTCATCAGTTCTGTCCTTCTTCTATTTTTGCTATGTCATCCCTGGGGACATAAAATCTCTACAATAAATCATAATGACAAATTATAAATTAATTTAGCATGCATTTGCACACAATCTTCTGCTTCCTCTAAGACTCTTGGTATTTCTTGAACTGACTTACAGTTGATTCAAGCAGCTGTCAGTTTTTAAAATAAGTGTATTTTCCAAAAGTACTTTGCTTTTCTCTCTTACACATTTTCTTTGGACAAAGATCTACATTGACTAACTTACATGCCAAACCACAAACAGCTTTCCTATCCATGTCAGTATTTCAAATCAAAGTGGGTTTGCTATCAATGAGAATTGAGTTTGGCTAGAGACAGAATATTTCCTTTCCCTTGTAGGGTTGGACCTCACCTTTCTATTGGTAGGCCCTGAGAGTTTAGAAAGGAAGGTTAGACCATCTTGGGATGTTTTCTGGCTTCTAAACCAGCTATGTTTAGGTTTTGTTTTAAATAAGAATTATATTAAAATCCCAAAAGAGTAGAATGCAACATTTCTCAAATTGTCAAAAACAGCTTTTATGTAGTAAATGTGACTTAAACACCTATGTATATATAAGTGAAATGTAAGTATTGCATTTGAATGAGCTTGGACTTTGTGATGACTTGCAGAACTCATGTACTGTAGTCATCCAGAAATCATATTCCTAAAAATTGTGTACTGTAGTCAAACAATATGTATTTTCTTATACATATCACATATGTTTTAGCTTGAAACTGGCTAGGGAACTGCTTGGAAGCATGAGGAAAACACGAACAAGAAAGTTTTGCCCTGAACTCTGGTATTACTAGTTGCTGAACCTTCCTCCCTTTCTGCAGTTCAAAGATACAGATAGCCCTGGCATTGCTTAATTTTGTGAACTTTGTTACAGTTGTAGGTAGATGTCCACAGTAAACACCCCAGAAAGCCAAGTTGAAAAAGGCAAAACAGCACAGTACTGCTCTCCACAAGTTAGAAAGGGGGAATAACTGAGATATGACATTTACGCATTTAAACTTTCATGAGATAAATTCCAGGCTGGGACTCTGGCACTATCCGTGTCCAGGAGATGAAGAGCACATGGGGATAGGAATCCAGGAGTGGATATAGAGATACAGTGCCTATGCTGTATTCTGGCACAGTGCTGTAAGGACAGTTTTTACCATGAAATGGCTAACAATGGGTCTCTGCAGGGGGAGAGGGGTGTCTCCCTAATGCTTGTGGTGCATGCCTAAAGCTGCTGCGAAGTGGCAAATCCCATCTTGCTAGCGTGGGCTTCAAGAGCCTGGCTAAGGTCTGAGTACCAAGTGCAGCTGAGAAGGTCGGCAGTGGTGGCAGCAGTAGTGGATGTGTCTTCTCTAGCACAACATGGGTTTGTTTTTGCATCTTGCTTGGAACAGCAGCACTGCAGCCATGCTCAGGCAGCCATAGCAAGGCTGGCAAACGTCCTGCAGCCTGGAGTCACTGACGTATGCTAGAGCCACGAAGAGTCATGGAGTTTCGTGGTATAATACAGGGCTTACTTACTGCTCTTCACTTTTCTCATTTTTGCTCTCTGTCTCCTGAGAGCCTGGTTTAGGCCAGCAAAAGAACCCTATCCTTTTCTCTCCTGGGTCAAAGCCTGGAATAAAAGAGGAGAGGAGAAACATATTTTTCAGCAGCATAATGTTTTGCCAGGTCATGAAGTAGCTGCTAAAACCACGTTGTCAGGCTTTGCTTTCGAAACAGCTCAGTACTCCTTGGGAGTCAGAGACAAAGGCTGCATTTTCTGTTACTTCTCTCACTTTTTTTTTTTTTTTCCCAGCTCTGTGCTCGTTTAAGGGAGAGAGGAGCAGAGTTCAGAAGAGGAATCATCAATTTTTTTTTCTCATAATGATATGTATAAAGATGTTCATGGCATTTTAAACACCATGCAAGAAGTTTCTAACACAGGATTTCACAGCTTTCCCCTGAATACAACTTAGGGACACATGACACTATCGTTTCTTAGAGGAAGAGACTTTGTATTTAAGTGTTTTGCATTCTTTTGCACCCTAGACAGATCCAGTTGGCAGATGTCAGCTTCTTACTCTTGAAAAACAAATTTTATTAGTTGTATACGATTAATTTTAAAAGGAAATAATAAATTTTTAAGCGCAAATCTGTAGAACAGAGCTGCAGAAAATAATATTCTTCTCAGAAGAATATGAGATAACACTCAGCCATGCTCTGGGGTCTTGAAGATAAACAGAAAATGTGAACTGAAATTCTCACCTCTCTAAAGTCAACTGGATTGATTTTCAGTGACCAAAGTAAAGCCAAGTTCTCACACTGAAGTTCAAGATCTTAGGAGAAAACCTAAGGGGAAAAGAAATTAAAATTAATAAAATATTAAGACCAAAGACATGTAGTTAATTTTGTGTGTATTGAGAATGCTGTGTGAATTTCTTAGTGGGACCAAAACTGAGCAGAAGCATAAGTATTTCCATGATTTAAGCCTAATGGTAGAGTTGGTGTTTCAGGCAGCAATAAGAAAAATAGCATAAGGACAGCATTGGATTAAAATAGTAGGGTCACGTGGTGACAACTTACTTGATCTTTTCAAGGTCTAAATACAGAATTCAAATCAAATAAAATGGCTGTTTTCTACTTAGAGTTACACAAATGTGTACCAATATAATTAGAAATACTTTTGCTTATAAATTTGAAGGAGTGAGAGGTTAAAGAACTAGTTATAAATTGATTTGGCCTTCTAGAGGAAATGCATGCTAAACCTGATCTGTCTTTAATAATGGAGAATGTGTTTTGTCTCCTACTCTCTTGAGATTTGGTTAATATTAATGCAAGCAAGATGTGAAAGGAAATTCTGTGCTTCGCTTTTTAGTAGCTTTTAGTCTCACAAGAGAAGAGATTGAAAATGAGATAAAGAAGATTTTGTTTGAAAACTTATTGCAAAACTAAAGGCTTTTAGAGTCCTTCAAACACTTGTTCACTTGCTTTATGCACATTGATATAATTTTGTGAAGTTCATGTTCAAGATACAGAGTTAAAACTCCGCTGGTGTAAATTCTGTGGTTGCAGGTCCAAGTGAAGTGAATGTATATTTTGTGGTATCAGCTACAAATTATAGTTAGCTAGCCTATAGTACAACTTTCCTAAGTCATTACAGAAATCCTGAATCAGTACAAAAGAGAATTTATAGTTAAAACTATGATGCCTCTGAGGTTAGCTTACATAGGACATTTTATGACAGAAAAAGTTGTTTTCTCATTGATTTGCGAATCTCCAATCTGTGTGTGTCCTGCCACTGATGGGAGCTGAAGGCAGCAGGCAGCACAGGAGCCTGCAGGAGCTGCTGTTCCTGGCCCGGGGTGAAGCCTTTTCCTGTTCAGCAGGTAGGGGCACATTGCAGCCAAAAGCACCCTCAGCAAAGCACTGCTGCTCCCTGAGAGCTGCTGCTCGGCCCCGAGGGAGCAGGCAGCCACAGCAACACTTGCAAGTCTGCCATGAGGGATCCTTGAGTGTTACGGCCTTTCACTAGTGAAATCATAGCAGCATTAAGCAAGAGAACAACTAAAACGCTAGTTTTAGAATAGTTTCCCAGTTCTCTAGATGTCTGACCCTAATTCACAGATCAAAATAATGGATAAAGGAGTGCTTAGGCAGGGATTTTAATGGAAAAGTATCCTAGCAAATCTGTCTGCAAACTAAGAATCAATGAAAATACCAGCTGGTACACAGCACATTAAATCTGGATCATTCAGCCATCAAACTGGGAGCTCCTGGCACTCACTGGACTCCAGCTGGACGCACCAGGCTTTTCCACCCTGGCTGTAGGGCTCCATGGCTCAGGGGAGCAGGCCTGTGGTGCAGGCTGGGGGCTGGCTGTGCAGCCTGTCCTGCCTCACAGGCACCGCGCTGACCGCGGGGCTGCCCGGGTGGGTGCCCGGGTGGGTGCACGGGTGGGTGCACGGTGGGTACACGGTGGGTGCACGGGTGGGTGCACAGGTGGGTGCACTCATGGCCACACTGGCAGGCACACGTGTGGGTACGCTGGTGAGTACACCGGCAGGCACACGGGTGGATAAACCGGCAGGCACACGGGCAGGTACACGGGGGGTGCGCAGGACCATCTGCAGCGTTGTCGGGCCGTCTGTGGCACTCTGCGGGTGCCGCTACTCTCGCTACCCAGACGGGTGCAGCTTTACCCCCGAGTGCCCCGCGTTACCCTCTCAGACATCCTGCTGCCACCGCTGGCCCGGCAGCGCCATCCGCGCCCACCACAGCATCGGCCGGCGCTTATCCGCGGGACCCCCTCCCGTGGCTGCGGAGGCTGCGGGCGGCGCTGCCGGGGCTGTTGCCGCGGTGATGCCGGGCAGCCCCGCGTGCCTGTGCCCCCGCCCCGCAAACATGGCAGCGGCGGCGGCTCGGCCGGGGAGCGGCGGCAGGTGAGGAGCGGCGGGGGCGGGGGCGGTGGCTCCCGGCCCTGCCCGGCCCGCCCCGCCGCCGCGGGCCGCCCGTCTGCATCCCCGGCTCCATCCGCAGGCCGGTGGGCGAGGCGGCGGCGGCGGGGGGCGGGCTCCCGGCGCCGCCAGGCAGCTCCTCCCTCCCTCGCTCCCTCCCTCCCTCGCTGCCGGCCGGGAGCCCCCGGCGGGGTGACAGCCCTGCCGAGCGCAGCCGGCCCGGCCGGGGCTGCGGAGCAGCGGCCGCTCCCGCCTCGGGCCGCTCGCTGCCGGCTCGCAGCGCGGCCGCCCCGCGCCCGCCATGTGGAAGCTCAACAAGAGCAGCAAAGTTCTGCTGGACGACTCGCCCGAGGAGGAGGAGACGCGTCCCCGCGGGCCGCCGCCCGCCGCCGCCTTCGCGGCCCCCCAGGTAGGCAGGAGCCCGGCTCGGAGGGGTCGCGGGGCTCGGCCCCGCTCCCGCTGCCCTGCTCTCCGGCGGCATGAGTAATCACTTTTCCCTCCCTGATGTGCCGGCAGGCTGGCACTGCTCGGAGCTGGGAGTGTTTGAGCGGATCGTGCGGCTGTCACACGGTTTTTGGGGTGCTGACTGGCCTGTCCAGCGGCCTTTCCTTCCAGAAGCCGGCCTCCGGCCCTTCTGGGACTTGATGTTCTTCGTTCCAGTGGCTTCCTACCGCAGGGTACTTTCTCTCCCAGCCCTAGGCAGAGGCACTGCGACTCATCTGTTAAGCACAATACATTAAACAAGGATGTTAAAGAACATAACTTTATTTACGCGTTTGTGGAGAGCCCTGATGTTTTGGCAGGATTGCTTTTTTCTTTGGTTTCACTAATGGTAGTTCACTATCTTTAAAGATCTGCAATCTTGTTTGAAAGCTTTTGTTCTTAAGTGTTGAATTAAATACCAACAGTGACTTTCTTAACAAATGCAACCTGAAGGTAAGGGTATCAGTTGAGTATCAGGGAAAACAACTAAAAAAATGTTTATTGACTTGCTTTCAAGAACTTGGTAGCAAATAGGTATCCATCCAGCTCAGAAGCCTGTTATGCTGCCCATTACAGCTTAGTTGCTGATCTTCTGTTGCCACTGAGTTACTTTAGGTACTGAATGAAAGGTTCTGAAATAAGCAGTTGCCTGTGGTTGCAAAACAGTGAGGTTTCTTTTCAAAAGAAGGTACTAAAGCTTTCCCAGCTTTCTACCCCATGTTTATCTTGCCTATCTTGCTGAAAGAGCTGGAGTGTATCTGGATAAATTATCCTCACCTTTTCTGTGAGTTGTCAACCGTGTGGCAACTGCTGAAGAGCAGCCTCTCCCAGTCATTGACAGATGTTATTCTCTCTATCTTCGGGTAGCCACAACCACCAGTTTAGTCTTGCCTTGCCCTTGCCCCTGCACAGTAAACAGTGGAGCCATAGCCCTTGCTACTTCTTTGGCAGCAGCTATGGGGAGTCATACAGATGACTAGGATCTCCTCCTGTGGAAGAAGAAAGGACATTCATTTTGGAGACCCCCTTCAGTGGAGTAAGGGGGATTCTGGGGTTTGAGGTGACCTGAAGTATCTCCCCCAACCTCTCATACAACATCTAACCTCTGCCTCCTACAGTTCCTATGCTCAGGTGCGTGTACGCTTCCACAGTTTCTGCTAAGCTACTGGCTTGTACCATCATAGCCCTCATAGACTTGCTCAGCTCCTGAAACCCTCCTCGAACACCAAAGGTCACCAAAAGCTTCCAGTAAATCCCACTGACTCTTCACTGCTCCTCTTCTCTACCACTAATGATCCAAGCCCCCTTTGAGGCTCCTGACCGTAGCCTCCCAGTCAGGAGAGGATTCTTCAGACATCTCTCCACACAATTCTCCCAGCCCTCTATTTTAGCAACAGAGGCTGGAGTTTGTTTATTTTATTTTGTCCAGTCCAATTGTCTTTTACTGTCATGGGCCTCTGTTCCATTAGTTGAAGTCTGAAGTTATAATGGTGATGACAATGGTCTCTTGTGAAAAAGATTTGCATTTTTGTGAATTTTAAGAAAAATCCTTTTCAACTCCCAGTGGAACTAGGATGCTGATTTTAGTGTTGAGGGATGGCAGGAAAAAAAAAAATATTCTAAGTCACTAAATGAAATATTCTTGAAAATAAAGGATTCAGTAAGGTTAGCACAACTGTAGTGAAGCTTGGCACAGAGGCCGGAGTGAAGATTATATGCTAATAGTTATTTTGCCTGTTAAAATCAAAATATTTTGAAAGGAATGCAGCACCCTGCCCAAAATATAGCAGTAGTCATTTTAGAGTTTGTGTACACTTTAAGGAAGAACAGAGTGTATAGAAATCTGACCACCTGATTGACATTGTAATTCTCATGATCAGAGCAGCCATAGGTACAGTGTATATAAACCATGGCTGGGACAGGTGTCAAGGGAACCAAATATACTTGTTCAGCTTGTTGTACCTGATCTTGCTTTTAGTATTTGAAATTTTTGATGTTTCATCAGATCCTGTTTTTTTCTCCCAATAGTATGATTGTAAAGGAGTGAAATCCAGTAATGTGTTGAGGGATTTGGTAATGATCTACACTCTCTGCTGCTGCATCCTGACCTGTGTCAGCCAACCCTCTATCTTTGGAGGACAGCAACACCATGAGAGCTTGGAGGAGTTGTGGAGGCAGTTCTTGTGGTACCTTAGCTGTGCATGGGGATACCTCAGTGTGTGTGTAAGTTGTTATGGTACAGCCTGCTGTGAATGAGGGATTACCTCATCAAATGAGAAGAATCCAGGACATCCCTGATTTTTTTATCGTTAGAGCCAAATCTAGATAATTAGTGTGAGTGCTTTTTAGTAAATTAAGAAACCCAGCTTTAGATCTCATGCAGAATGTGACTGTTAGATCTAATTTCCTTTTCTGATACACCATTTGGTAAAAGAGAAGATGAACAAGAGTCATTGTGTTTTGACTTTGATTCATGATACACTGTTTTCTCAACAACCATATTTTGTCTTTATTTTCATTTTTAGTAAGCAATTGGGAAGAGAATCCTTAAGCTTCTACCATTCATACTATAAATAAGGCTGAGACATTTTACTTCAAAGGCAAGAAATTGGTAGTCACATCTATGTCATTAAAGCAAACCACATTGGAAGTATTCCAGTATAATGAAATGTTGGTGCTGTATATTGTTTCTTCAAAGCTGAGAAAGAGTGAAGGAGTTCTCACTGTGCTGCAACCTAATAATTAGGACATTGCAGTAGACAGCAACAAAGAATTAGTCTACTATAAGTTAAAAAAAAAAAGCCCAACACAAAAAACCCCTTTGTTACTCCAGAGAAATTTTAATCATCCTATTTAGATATGGAAGCCTGATTTGGCTTAAGCAGACATTTGAAATTGTAGACGTTCATAGTTCTTAAATAGAAAAGCCTAGTTTGATCTAAAAAAAAAGTTTTGACAGTTCTGGTTTTGTGTTATACAGAATGGTTTGATTTTGTTCCAGGGGAGAACAAAAACAAATTTTAGAACATGAAAATTGCAAGGGAGGGAACTGTCAGCCTCTGGCCACTTTTTAGTAAAAGTTTCTGCATACATTCAAGTACTTTGAATTGTTTACACCTATTTAAAATAGTAAGCTGTTTCCTGAGATAAGAAAGACAAGTTAATTTTGAAACAGTACTCGTGTAAATAAATGTGTGGATTATTGTGAGGTTTTTTTAGACCAGACACTTTTATACTCTATCTTAGAAGTTAATTTTCATTTACGCTTTGAAGCATAAGTATTTTTAATTTATGCAATGAAGGTGCTTTATTCACTTAAGTTATAATTAATGCATGAAGGTAACTTGACATGCATAAATAGTACACACACATAAGATGAAATTAATGTGTGTGTCTCTCTAAAAATATGCTAGAAATGTACAGTGGTGCATGCCAAACTTGCGTTCAGTTTGGAATATAGTCATTATATTTCAAACTGTAGTTGTTTTTTTGGAAAGGGAAAACTGCTGGGTTTTGATTTCTGGAAGGCATTGTTTTGGCAGTTGTGCTAAGTTCTTCTTGATGCAATCCTACCATCTAATCAGTTCTCAGAGATGTCAATGCTATGTCAATATTGCGTGTAACTCTGACGTAAAATGGAACTCCACGGTAAAATATATCTATATATTAGGGGAGGGGATGGGTGTCAGGCTGACCTATATTATCTAATGAAACTCTGTCTTTCATGTAAAAATATTTCAGAACCTTAGCCTTGATCTGTTCTTCCCAGATGTATTTTTTGTTACGTTCAAAGAGAATATGTGCAAAAACATGTTTTGTGCTGAATTTTGTTTAGACTTGCTCAGGATGTTTGAAGGTTGTCTATACAGAATTTTAGTTATCTCTTTTAATGAAGATGTTTAAGTGTCTGGTACAATTTTAATACTGGCTTTCATGTTGGAATGAGTTGAACTCAGACAAGCCCTGCAGAAATAGGTGGAAGCTGAGTAGC